ATTGATCTGTAAGTATCATATGTCAACTTTCCATATCTGTGTGCATGTTTCTGCTGTTTTTTCTTAGGTTTCTTTGTGTATCTTTGCTGCAGTGTTATTTACTTTAGTTGTATGAAGAGCCTCAATACCTAAGAGAACAAGTCACCCACCTATGCTTCCTTTTAAACTAGACTCCCCTTTAAGTTAATGTTTAATTTTTTTCTAAAGTAAACTTTTTGTTGTAGTATAATGTGCTATTTAAGTTTTAAGTATCTCTGCAGTAATCACCCGAGGTCACAAGTAATACCGAAGCTCCTTTAATGTAGACTATCTCAGACTGTCATTAGTTTTTGCAAATCCTGTCCTACCTCGAGTTAGTTTTAACTTGAAAAGCAAATACAGGATTTTCATTTGGATATATAGTTAAGATATTTGGGAAAACTTTCACACTGAAAGTAGCCAAGAGTGCTGTATTTTAAAAAATTATATGGCAGTTAGGAATTGATGTGTCAAAATTTAAGAGAAAGCTGAAAATCTGAGAGACTAAAGGAGCCTTAAGTCTTATTTGCTCTGAGGGTATTTGCTCTACTGGGGAAACTTGATTGGATTTGAGTAAGAGACATAGAAATTAGAATGATCAGAATGAGAAGTTATAGTGAGGAAGTCTAATAAATGGGATTTTCTGAGAGAAGTAGAGAATAGGCAAAGCAATATTTAAAGAGATAATGAATGAGGATTTTTCAGTACTGGAAAATCTACCAGTACTGGTGGAAAGACATCAATCCACAGGTGGGTTATTCCTTGATTGCTGAGTAGTATTTCATTATATAGATATAATACAGTCTGTTTATTCACCTGTTGCTGGACATTTGATAGTTTTTTACTATTTCAAATAGAGCTGCTATGAACAGTAGCATACAAGCCTTTGTGTGGATATATGATTTCTTTTTTCTTGAGTATATTTACTCAAGGAATTGAATGTCTAGATCATATGGTAGGTGTATGTTTAACTTAAGAAACTGCCAAACCATTTTATATTGCCACCAGTTGGTTATGAGAGTCCTATTTATTGTACATGCTTGCAAGCACTTGAATGGCCAGTCTTTGCAATTTTATCATTTTTAAGAAGTGTGTAGTATATCTCATTGTAGTTTAGTTTTAATTTGCACTGATGGTGTTGAACATACTTTCATGTGTTCTTTTGTCCACTTATGTGTTTCTTTGGAGAAGTGTCCATATCCTTTGCCTATTTCTAAATTGTGATATTTTTCTTTTATTATTGACTTGTAATAGTCCTTTATATATTCTGGATATAAGCTTGTATTGGAATTATGATTTGCAAATATTTTCTCCCAGTCTCTCAGTTGTCTTTCCACTTTCTTGATGGCGTCTTTTGAAACACAAAGTTTTAAATTTTGATAGCATTTAATATGTCAAATTTTTTTTATTGCTGTGCTTTTGATGTCATATCTAAGAAATCAGTGCCTAATCCATGTGCACAAAGAATTAATTACTTCCATGTTTTCTTCTAGGAGTTTTGTAATTTTGGCTCTTACATATAGGTGATTAGTTTTGAGTTACTTTTTGTGTGCAGTATGTGGTAGTCATCCAATTCCTTACCCCCTCCCCTCCCCTTCGTTCGTATATGGATATCCATTTGTCCCAGCACCATTTGTTGAAAAGACTATCTCTTCTTTTTAGAATTTCTTGGCACCTTGTTAAAAATCGATTTACCATAGATGTAAGGGTTTATTTTTGGGCTCTCAGTTTTATTCCATTGACCCATATGTCTGTCCTTACCCCAGTATCACAGCCTTAATTATTGTAGCTTTGTAGTAAATTTTGTAGTCAAGAAACATATCTTCCAACTTTGTTCTGCTTTTTTAAGATTGTTTTGGCTGTTCTGTGTCTTTTGCATTTCCTTACAAATTTTAGGATCACTTTGTTTCTGTAAAGAAGCTGGAAGGGATTGTGTTAAATCTGTAGAAAATTTGGGGAGTATTGCCATCTTAATAATATTATGTCTTCTAATCCGTGAACATGGGGTATCTTTTAATTTATTGAAGTCTTCTTTAATATCTATCGATAATGTTTTGTAATTTTCAGTGTACAAGTCTTGCACTTCTCTTGTTAAAGTATTCCTAGGTATTTTAGGTTAGTGGGTTTTTTTTAGATGTTATAAATGGAACAGATTTCTTAATTTCAGTTTTAGATTGTTCATTTTTAGTGTATAGAAGTACAGGGTGGGGCAAAAGTAGTTTTACAGTTGTTTGTATGGAAAATAATACAATAACTAATAAATAATAATATAAGAATAAACCCTATTTTGCATACTCACAACTGTAAACTTACTTTTGCCTTACCCTGTACAACTGATTTTTGTTTATCAGTCTTATCTCTTGCAGCTGGATGCAACTTGTTTATTACTTCTAGTAGTTTTTAATGGATTCCTTTGCGCCTTTTATTTACAAGATCAAGTTGTCTGTAAATGAAGTGAGTTTTACTTCTTTATTTCTAGTATGGTTGCCCTTTATAACTTTCTAGTCTAATTGTGCTAGCTGGAATCTCCAGTACAGTGTTGAACATAAGTGGTATAAGTAGACATTCTTGTCTTTTGCATAGGCTTAGAAGGAAAGTATTCAGTCTTTCAGCAGCTACTGTGATGTTAACTGTAGGTTTTCATAGATGCTGTTTATTTTGTTGAGAACATTCTCTTTTGTTCCTTGTTTGATTAGCTTTCTTTTTTTATCATGAAGAGTATTGGAATTTTCAAATCTTTTCTTTTTAATCTGTTGAGATGATTATATAGTTTTTGTTGATTATTCTGTTATGTTATGTATTACATGAATTGATATTCAGATGTTAAACCAACCTTGCAATCCTAGTATAAAACTCATTTGGCTATGATATATAAATCTCTTTATGTTTCTGGATTCAGTTTGCTAGTATTTTGTTGAGGATTTTTGTGTCTATGTTCATGAGGGATATCCATCCTTTTACTTTTAAATTCTTTGTGTCTTTATATTTAAAGTACATTTCTTGTAGCCAGCAAGAAATGGATTGTTTTTTAATCCAGTCCAACAATCTCTGCCTTTTAATTGGCATACTTAGAGCATTTACACTTAATGTGATTATTGCTGTGGTTAGGTTTAAATGTATTATAATTTTGCTGTTTCCTATTCATCCCACCTGTGTTTTTTGTTCCACCTAGTGTATAATCTTGCTATTTGTTTGTTGTCCATCCCAGCTGTTCTTTATCTTCCCCCTTTGTTTCTGCTTTCTTTTATATTAAGAATTTTTTTCTATAATTCCATTTGACCAACTCTTTGGCTTATTAGCTACACCTCTGTTTTCTTATTTTAGTGTTGGCCTTGGGGTTTATGATACTATTTTCAACTTTTCAGACTGTTACAGACACACTGGTGTGTGCTGGTGCCGACTGAGGCCACCCACTGGTGTGGCAGGACAGGAGCTGCTTTGGAGGGGTGCCAGCCTGGGTGGGTCCTCAGGGAAATGCCAGGATGGAGTTAGCAAGGTTAATGGAGAGTGTCAGAAATGGCGCCTACCAGCATCAGACCAGCTAGGTGAAAAAAAAGTAAAGAAAGGGGGGAAAAAGTAGCATCCACCAGCACTCTGACTCTGGAGAAAGATCCCTGCCCCCCCAGCACATGCCCTAAAATGAGTCAGTGTATCACCTTCATGTATGACCCAGGTCCTTTTCAAACTGCTGCCTGCACTGGGACTCGGAAGGAGCACAGTTTGAATTTCCTACAGCCCTTTGACTCTCCCAGACATAAGCCCCCGCCCACTGGTTTCCAAAGCCAGATGTATGGGGGTTCCTTGTTATCGCGGCCCCTCTTCCTCGTGCAGGTCCCCCAGGCTGGAGCTTGGACCCCTTGCTCTCGGTGGGGGACCTCCAGAGTTGTGATGTCCCTCCCACTTGCGGGTTACCACACGGGGAATGGGGACTAGGGTGGGTTCTGACTATACTTTACTCTCTGCCCCTCCTACCTGTTTTCATGAGGCTTTTTCGTCATATCTGTAATTGTAGAAAATCTTTCTGCTAGTCTTCAGATTGTTCTCAGAGATGGCTGTTCTGTATGTAGTTGTAGTTTTAGTGTCAGTGAAGGGAGGTGAGCTCAGGATCTTCCTACTCTGCCATCTCGAACCCAAAAGCCAGGAGTCTTGCTCTTGAATGCCAGTTTAGCTTGCCTATGAAATGTTTTTTGTGATTGGTGCACTGTCCCTGCAACAAACATGTCTCCATATATAGTTTTATATTTCAGGTAAATTTAAAACAGACTCCCTTTATTTTCAATATATCTTATTTGTGACTTAGCTGGTGTTGTGTATGTGTGTTATAGTGTTTAATATATATTTTTCTGTTAGTATAATTCTAAACATTAAACCAGGGGTGGGGAACCTTTTTTCTGGCAAGGGCCATTTGGATATTTATAACATCGTTCTTGAGCCATACAAAATTATTGTTGCTATGAAAAAAGCTCCTAGATTTATTGAATTTCAAGTCCTGCCTGCGGTTACCTTGGCAGGGTCAGACCAAATGATTTTGAGGACCTTATATGGCCCGCGGGGCGGACATTCCCCACCCCTGCATTAAACTAACACAAAGTATGAAATTATTTGTTTATTGGCCCCCATTATAGGGTCTTTGGGTAACCAAAAGAATTGATTTGGAGCAAGTTAATTTTTTTCTCACACTTTTTTATGAGTGTCATTTGATTTTTCAACTTTTGCTTGGATGTCAATTTAGATATACAAAGCTAAAGAGCAAATTCAGAGTGGAGATTTTCTCTTTTCCATACTTAACATTGAGATTGTTCATTTAGTAATTTTTAAGCATGCCATTTTATTAACTTACAAGGAGGTTATAAAAATTACATATTGGGAGAAAAATCTATCTTCCTCTAAACATTTGAACATCTGAGACAATTTTATTTATTTAGTGATACCTAATGGCCTTCAGCGTGATCATTTTAACTTGTTTTCTGTTCTACCAACAGATTAATATTAAAATTGGAAGCTTGTATCTTTTGCCCGACATTGGAAATTGAATGTAATGGCAACAGAATTTATAAAGAGTTGCTGTAGAGGATGTTTCTACGGTGAAACAGAAAAGCACAACTGTGAGTTTTGTTTTACAACTTCAACAAACATTTATTTAATGTCCTCTTTATTTGTGACATTTTGTAACATAAATAAATGAGACGTATTTCCTAAATTCATGGGGGAGGCAGAAACGTAAATATAAGGCACACTAGGTAAGTATTAAATACCCTGGAGCATAGGGGAGAGAGATTAATTCAACCCAGGAGGCACCCTGGGGCAGTCCTACAAGGAAGGTGGTATTTGGTATGGACCCATGAAGAGGATTTTAGCAACCGAGTGGGAAGAAGGAAGGAGGGAAGATGAGGATTGGACTTGAGTATTGCAGGCGGATGAAATTCTGTAGGTGAAGGTAGTGAGAGAGGTGTTGGGTGTGTATGGGGGCAACATACTCTGCAAATATTTTAATGTCTAATTTATGAACAGTGCATTTAAAAATACCTTTTGTGAATGAATGACCAATGGGGAGAAGAGACATAAATTTATCAAGGCGAGCATTTATCAGGAGTCCTGGAGATTTCCCTTATATTTCATGGTTTCCTCATCTCTTCAGGGTTATGACAGGAACTTTATTTTTCACTGGCTCTTTCTTGTATTTCTTAGTCTAGAGCATAGCTTCCTAGTATATTTGAGTATGAAGGCTCCTTTTTTTGCATTAAAACATTTTATAAATTAATACACAATGGTAGTTGTACTTTTATTCATTGTACATACAATACTAATCATACATAGATTAACTCTGGGATCCCTTTCCTCCCCATCCAAGCACACATTTTGGGAGTCACATATCGTTCTATCGAATGGACAAAATAGGCCAGAGATGCTAGCACAGGGAGAGTTGCTATTATATTAGGGTCAATGTATATTTTATTTTGTGATTTGGTGAAGATATTTATAGACTTGGAGACCTAAATTTAGCTTCTTTTCACAACTGCTTTATGTATTTAAGGCTGATGTTAACCATTAATATTGACAAGAAGAATTGCTTTGTTGAGAATATTTTTAAATGACTAGAAACTTGAAAGTATTGTATAATTAAACTTCAAAATAAACTTGTTTTTCCATCTATGAGCTCTTATGGGAATGAATCTCTTTAAAGCCTACTTTTACCATTTTGATAAGTTAATATAATTTGGCAATAGTATGGTAATTGCTGAAATATTGGCTGGACAGAATTAATGTAGAGTACACAAGTGCTTGATAGGACCCACGAGTACTTTATGTATCAGCAGTTTATTCTAAAATGATTAAGTAAGTATCAAAGCATGTTAGGTTTAGATTATTATATATAAATCTACATGCATATTTGTGACTTTTTTCTTTCTCTTTTTTTCCCCCTTCTCTTACTTGCAGTTTCTGTGGAAAGAGACTTTAAAACAGCAGTCTCAAATCAAAATACTACTATCTGTGTACCTCCATTGACTTCTGTTTCTGTAAGGCCTCAGGTTGGCTGTACTGAGGATTATTTACTTTCAAAATTACCATCTGATGGCAGACAAGTACCATTTGTGGTGCCCAAGTTTAAGTTATCTTATATTCAGCCCAGAACGCAAGGAACTCCTTCACATCTGGAAGAACTTGAAGGTAAACAAAAAATGCCCGGGTTTAAAACTCAACATGCAGCTTTTAAATGCTGTTATTGCTCTCTTTAACATGAAGGTGTATCTTTTATACACAAATTGTACATTTCACTTTTTATGTTTTGCTCTTTCTATAGTGGAACTTAATGTATAGTATTTTTGAAAATTCTCATTATGAAATCTGACCATCATACAACACATTTGTATCTAGATTTGGCCTTTTCAAAAGAAATAATATAATTATAATCAGTTATCCTTCACACTAGAAAGGGAAAATAGAGGAATTATTCTGGATTTGATCAGTAAATACAGGAAACATTCTGTCTACTGTTTTCTAAGTCTGGTGGAAAGAGAAATAAAGAAGCAGTAAAGCAGTTCTTCTTCATCACTACACTTCCCAGTCTGTAAATACACTTCCCAGTCTATAAATACACTTCCCAATCTATAAATACACTTACCAGTCAGAATAGCTGCTTGAATGAGGTTCATTGGCTTGAATTTTGGCCAATGGACTAATAAAGAGGAAACAACATGTAACTCTTGTATTTTGAAAATAATTTGTTCTAGTGGATTGACACAATGATTATTTTTCCTCAAACTTTTATTATGAAAAATTTCAAACACGCAGAAGAATGGAAAGAACTTAGTGGTGAATATCTGTATATATCTACCACATAGATTTTTACATTTACATTTTACTGTACCTCTTATCACTTCTCTATCCATCTATCCATTAATCCTTTTTGTCGGGGAGAATGTATATCAGTGTAAATTGCGGACATTAGTGGACTTCCCTCTAAGTACTTAGGCAAATATATCATTTACTAGAGTTCAATATTTGTGTAGTCTTCTTTCAACACTTCTTTACATGCAGTGAGCTGCCCAAGTTTTAATTATAATTTTTGAGTTTTGACAAATGCAAATGCCAGTGTGATCAAAACTACCAAGATCTAGAATATTTCTTCAAATATTTTTTCTGTCCCTTCCCTTTTCTCTTCTAGGGTTCCAACTACACATATGTAGGACCTGTTGATACTATTTTATGTGTCTCTGAGACTTCTTTTTTTTCCCCCTGATGTTTTTTTTCTGTTCTTTGTGTGTTTTTTTAAAAAACAAAAAGTTTTTATAAAAAACAAAAAGTCAATATCTTTATTGACTTCAGAGAGAGGAAAGGAGAGGGATAGAAAGATAGAAACATCAATGATGAGAGAGTCGTTGATCGGCTGCCTCCTGTATGCCCCCGACTGGGGATCGAGCCCTCAACCCAGGCATGTGCCCTGACCGGGAATCGAACCCCGATCGCCTGGACCCTAGGTCAACGCTCAACCAGTAAGACACACCCGGCCGGGCCTGTTCTTTTTGTTGTTAACCCTTATCAGAGGATATTTTTTCCATTGATATTTAGAGGTGGAGGGGGGAGAGAGAGAGAGAGAAACATTGATGTGAGAGACACATCAGTTGGTTGCCTCCTGCACGCACCCCTACTGGGGCCAGGGATGAAAACGGCAACCCAGATACATGCCCTTGACCGGGAATCAAACCCATGACCCTGCAGTGCTCAGGCTAATGCTTGAACCACTGAGCAACACCGGCCAGGGCTTTTCTTTCTGTTCTTAAGATTGGATAATATTGATCTATTTTCAAGTTCATTGTCTCTTTCCTTTGTTATCTCCATTCAGCTGTTAAACCCCTCTAGTGAATGTTGTATTTTAGACATTGTATTTTTTAGTTGTAGAATTTACATTTGGTTCTTTTCTGTAGTTCTGTCTGCTGTGATTTCTTATAGGGATTTTGTTTGTTTTCTCATTATTGTGAGCCTATTTTCTTTTATGTTTTTGAGCTTTAACATCTTTGTCTACAAATTCTAACATCTAGGCCATCTGGGTTTGGATTTCTGTGTATTATCTCTTTTGGGGGGAATGGGTCACATTCTCCTATTTCTTTGTGTTTGAGGTAACTTTGGATTGTATTCTGAATGTTGGATGTTATGTTGTAGAGACTCTAGAATCTGGTATATTACTCAGAGGGTTTTTCTTTTTCCTTCTTTTTTTCAGCAGGCAATTAAGTTGGTTGGATTCTGCAACTTGGTAGTGGCAGCTCTTATCTCAGCTTAGTTTTATTGTCCTTAGCTGGAGTCTGTCCCACGCACGTGTGGGTCAGGGATCAGCCAGGTATTTGAGCAGACCTTCTTCACGTAATTTGGGGTTTTCTTCTTTCCAAGAATTCCCCCCCTTACTTTCTAGTTGCTGTGATTACTGTGAACTTTGCCATCTGGTTCTTCAGGCCAAAAGACTGGATTTTCTATTGGAGTTTTACCCACCTGCTCAGTGCCAGCTGTGGCCTGCCCTTAGGCTAAAAGTTCTTAGAAACAGGTAACTAACTTTCTACGATTCCCTATTTTCCAAGAGTCAGATCCTGTCCAGCATCTGCATTGCTTTTATTCACTGTCCAGTGCCCTTATGGTTTTAGTATGCTTTTTGGGTTTTGGTTTTGGTCTAGAATTTAGTGTTATATATAAGAGAGTAGGGTCTGGTAGGAGTGATTTTTTTCTTTTTTTTAGGGAAACAAGAAAAGACGAACCTGGTGCCTTTTTCATGTATCACTAGTATCTTCAAAAAGTTTTAAAGAGTTCCGGCTCACAGGATACCATGGTGAATGGGTTTTTCTCTTTCTCTCATACGTGTTTAACAACATTGGGATTAAACCATATAAACATCTTGGAATTGGTTTTATTCACATGTATTATGAACACATTTTCATACTTATTGCTTTTTAATGGCTCAATAGTATTAAATTATATGGATGTACCACAATTTATTTAATAAATTCTCTATTCTTAGACATTGAAGATATTTTATGTGTTGTTGTTTTTTTCATAATCAGAAAATAAGCAAGAAATACCTACTTGGCAATATGTGATCGTTGTTTTTTTTTCATCGTATCACTGGAAAACATTACTTTCTGAGTTTATACTTAAATTATAGGTGAAACCATCTGATTCTTAGCATATTGGAGAGAGAATTACTTTATATAACTGGAGTCAAGAAAGTATTCTTGGTACCTAATTATAGAAGTAAAATATGTGTAAGGTGTATGTGCATGTGCACGTGTGAGCGATGGGTGCATATGGAGATTTTGAGAAGATAGAGCAGACCAATATCAATGACTAAAATTATGTTTCAAATATTTGAAATTTGTTTTGTTGCATTGCTTACTTGCTGATGAGTCTGATGATAGCTGTAGCTTTCTGCTTTGATAACAGACAGATTCTGTCATTAACATTTTACTATGCTTGCTTTATCACCTACTACCTATCCGTCCAGAGGATGCATTTTGAATTAATATTGAAATTTTTTTTTTTTTTAAATATATCTTTATTGATTTCAGAGAGAGGAAAGGAGAGGGAGAGAGAGAGAGATAGAAACATCAATGATGAGAGTCATTGATCGAGCCCACAACCCGGGCATGTGCCCTGACCAGGAATCGAACTCCGATCGCCTGGATCCTAGGTCGACGCCCAACCGCTGAGCCACGCCCGGCTGGGCTTAATATTGAAATTTTAAATAGGGCTTTTGAGAGGTGTTGGCAATTATGTAACTTTACATTTAATTTTATATCACTGTGGTTCTGTAAGTTAAGAGAAATTCCTCTTGAACTTAAAAAATGATATCACTGTATACTGTTTGAGGGCAGAATTGGTATTCTGTAGTGGCTTACTTATAAAGGAAGAATGAAATCGGAATATTCTTTTTTGAGGTATAGTCTGTGAAGGTAGTGAGTCATTTATGGAACTGCTGCTCTTCACAGTGCTGTTCTTGTTACCATGAACAGACTTTTGTAGCAGTGTTTGTGTGCCTAAGATCCCAGCGTTCACTGATGGGGCAGACTCTTTGTAAGGCCCCCTGGTGCCATAGCTCCCCGTTGGCACCTTGCTGACCTTGGACTGTGCTTGGGTTGCGCACATGGCTTTTTGAACTGAGATGAGGATAGACTCTCCCCTCATAACCCTGCATTTTATTTTATTTTCCGAACTCAGTGTGAAGCTTTATTGTTTAGCTTAATTCGGAAAATACTGGTTTATACTGTGGGTTCTGTTCTAAATGGAACAAAAAATTAAAATGGTGATAATTTGAACATATAAAAAGCTTTATGTGTATATATTATTTCCAATGTGATTATAAGCTTTGAAAGAAATTTGATATAAATATAAACCACGTGTAGAAAAAAGGAACAAAAAAATATATAGCTCAGTGACTTATTACAAAGCAAATTATGTGTACAGTCGCCATTCAAGTAGAGAGAGTATTGCCAGCAACCCCAGAGCTTCCCCTTTTCAGTCACTTCAGAGTAATCGGTATCCCAGTTGCTGTAATTACCACTTTCTGGCTTTTCTTACTTTTTACCACCTAAGTACATATTCCTAAATGTTATGGTTCAGCTTTTTTCTGTTTTCAGACCTTTATGTAAATGAAATTACATATTCAGTATATATTCTTTTGTTTGTAGGTTTTTTTCAGTCAACATTATGTTTGTGAAATTCATTCAAATTGTTCCTAGTAGCTTCAGTTTGTTTTTATATCTGTACAGAGAGTGTATCTGTTGTAATCTAAATGGATGACATACAGTAGTGTCTCTGTGTAGCGTACAATAAGGTATTTTTATGTAGTAAGTATATACTACAGTTCATCTATTTTACTGTTGACGGCATTTGAGTTTTTTCCAGGTTTTGGCTAATATGGATAATGACGCTTGTGTACATTCTTGTACTTGTCTCTTGGGGTACACGTGCAAGCATTTCAGTTGTGTATATGGCCCTGAATGGCATATTTGGGTCATAGGGCATAAATATCGTTAGCTTTAGTAGAAATTAGCAAACTGTTTTCCACAGTGATTATATCAATTTACATATTCATCAGCAGAGTATGATCGTACACATTGCTCTACTTTCTTGTCAGCACTTGCTGTTGTCAGGCTTTTTCATTTTAACCATTCTGGTGAGCATGTAGTGGTTTCTTACGAGAGTTTTAATTTGCATTTCCCTCATGACCAATGAGATTGAGCACTGGATCATGTTTATTGGCTCTTTTTTATAACACTTTATTAAATTTATTGGGGTGACAGTGGTTAATATGAACATATAAGTTTCAGATGTGGGTTTCTATGCTACAAGATCTGTATTTTGCTCTGTGGGCCCACCACCCAAAGTCATATCTCCTCCTGTCACCATATATTAAGACCCTCTTCACCTCCCACCCTCCACCCCCTTCCCTCCTGTCTCTTATACACATCTAGATGTGTATAAGAGACANCTCCACCCCCTTCCCTCCGGCACCCACGACACTCCTGTTTGTATTCACGAGTTTCAGTTTTATGTACCACATATGGGTGAAATCATGATTCTTAGCTTTTTCTGACTGACTTAGTTCACTTAGCATAATATTCTCCAGGTCCATCCATGTTGTTGCGAATGGCAGTGTTTCATCCTTTCTTATGGCTGAGTAGTATCCACTGTGTACATGTCCCACATCTTCTGTATCCAGTCCTCTGTCGCAGGACACTTTGGTTGTTTCCATGTCTTGGCCACTGTGAATAATGCTGCAGTGAACATAGGGGTGCAGATATCTTTGCGAATACATGTTTTTGAGTTTTTCGGGTATATACCCAGGAGAGGGATTGCTGGGTCGTATGGTTAGCTTAAGTCTCAAGCTAATTTATATATAGGCTTGCTTGAATTTTTCTTATTGATTTGTGGGAGTTCCTCATAAATTCTGGATATGAGCCCTTTGTCAGTTATATTTGTTGCACATATCTTCTCTCACTCTGTGGGATACCTTTTAACTCTCTTCAGTCTTTTGACAAATGTGAAATTTCAAATTTAATGTAATTCAGTTTATTAAAATTTTTTTATGATTAATGCTATGCTCCATTTTAGAAGTACTTCTCTGCCCTAGGCCATGAAGACTTTCTTATAAATTAATATAGAAGTTTTAGTTGGTTTGCCTTTAACATTATTTTAGAGCTACGATCCACATGGAATTAATTTTTGTGAATGTAATTTAGTTGGGATGAAGGTGGTTTTTTTTCCTATATCAATATTCAGTTGTCTTATCTTCTTTTAGTAAAAAGACCATTCTTTTCCTACTGTTGTGCAGTGCCACATTGATTATAAATCAAGTATCCACAAAATGGGTGTCTTTCTGGACCTTCTGTTCTGTTCCATTGATCTTATAATTGTGCCATTAGTCCTTCCTTAATACCCAGTAGATCAAATCTTTCAATCTTGTTTTTCTTAAAGATTATCTTTTTGATTATTTTTGGTCCTTTATGTTTCATTATAAATATTTTTTATCCGTTTTGCTGTTTGATTTCTAACTTTATTACATTGGTGTTAGAGAACATACTCTTTATGATTTCAGTTCTTTAAAATTTATTGAGACTTGCTCTGTGTATCTCAGCATGTTGTCAGTTTTTTTATTTAATAAAGTTTTATTTTTCAGAATGTACAGCTGGTGGGACCTGTTGTTTATGCATCTTCTCCCACAGCTGGAACATCCCCACCTTTGGTGTTTCTGGTGTAATTACGTGAGCTCTGTGCTTTGAAACTAGTTTAGTAAGTCCTGTATCAGGAGCTCCTGCAGGGCTGCCCTGGCAAAGGAACCGCAATCTTCAGTCTCAGAGACAGCAGTGCGGTGATAAGCTTAGAGTTGGGAACTTCCTTACAGTCTGTTGTATGTTGCTTTGTCAGACTAGATGAGGTTATTGAGCTTGTTCCAAACTTTGCCTTGGACCACGTCTTCTTTTTGGCCTTGCCCCCAGATTTGTTCCCTGGGTCTTTGTCTTTCTTGGCCGACTTTCCAGCATTTTCTTCTAGTCCTTGGGCGGCATAGCACTCGAAGAGCAGCTGCCACCACTGCTGCCTCGATAAGGTGTTGGACAAAAAGGAGCATGTGGTCAGTTTTTATAAACGTTCTGGTCCTCATGAAAAGAGCACATCTCCAAAAACAGATAATATTTTTATTTAAAAGATGTTCTTTGTGTAAATAGAAAAATAAAAGGAAACTCAGATCACAAAATATAGAATTGTCCAAAACATTTTGGAATGTGTGCTTAGGGGCAAAGAAAAATTGTCAAAAATTTACCAGACTGTCTGGAGAGCAGGGTTCATGGCTGATCCTGGGAGAATATTCCGCACGGAGCTCAGTAAATGCCAACTTATTTTTTTAGGTATCAAATGCATGTGAATTAACAGTACTCGAAACAAAAATGTTTTCCTTTTACCTGAATTCACCAGCTGTTGGCTAATAACTCCAAGAAAAGGATGTCATAAAACTTCAGAAACATTTGCTTTTAGGATCTGCCAGAGCATCTTTTGGAGATCGAAAGGCAGAACTTTCCAGTTCATCTCATCCTGGATCCAGCTATGACATATATAACCCGTTCTACATGTACCAGCACATTTCACCAGATTTGAGTCGGCGCTTTCCTCCCAGTTCAGAAGCAACTAGACTATATGGATCAGGTTTGAATTTTTTTTCTCTGTGTGTGTCTCTCTCTTTCTTTCTTCCTTTCTTTCCTTTCTTTTGTTCAGCTTTTTATTGAACATGTTACAAAGAGGTTTAGCCAAAGAGACCGAAGCCCATCAAACGCCTCAGCTCCTTCTCCACCTGCACTTTCTTTTCCTCGGCTGGGGCAGCAGTGGTGACTCTTTGCGTTTCTCTTTTAGCAAATGTACAAGTCAGATTAAATCTAAGACCCTGGAAGAGATGATTCTTATTATGAAAAACAATTTACAAGTAAGAGAAAAGCAGGCTTCAGAAGTGATATGATAAACATCATGACCTCTTTGTGGTATTAGATCTCATATAAAAAATGTAAGACTAGTAAGTCGTCGGTGTTAGTGAGGTCTAAATTCCATTTTATTTGTCCTCTTTTGAAAAAAGTTTTTTTACAGATTATTTTGTGTATTTTTATATATCATCCATTTGTAAATTTTAAAACAAATATTTACTAACTTTTTCATTTTCTGCGCTATTCAGTGAAAATGACAAATTTAGAAACGCATGTGATTAGAAATGTAAACAAAAAACAGAAAATGCCTAAATGATTTTAGAACTTTCTTAGTTTCATATTTGAGACTGCATCACTTACAGTCTATCTTGTACATATATGATTCGCAAAATTCTCACTGTTCTTCAGGTCTTTTACACAGCTGTCTCAACCCTGAGTTCAGAATGAAGTACTAAAAATAAAGCAGAAGTAGTTATTTAAATATTTATTTCAGCGCTGTGCTAGAGTACACATTAGTATACAGATTTCCCTTCTTCGAGGATCTTACAGTTTAGGAGGGAAGCTAGAAATACAGAATCACATAGGATTCTGTATTGATTTTTTTAAAAATAAGTGCTCATTAAATAGTTGAATTGCATTTAGTGCAGAGGACTTACCTCCTCTTAGATTATTCTTGTGAGATGAAGAATTGAGGAATGTAAGCAAAAAGAATGAATTTTCTCTGCTTAATATTTTATATGGATGTAAAAATGTGTTACTTGATTTTTGTTGGTTTCTATTTCAAAGTAAAATAATTGAAACAAATTTTAAGCTTTGTTAGAAGCTTTTATCTTTTAAGTAGATTTGCATATAATATTCATGTTGTATTCCTAAAAAGACTTAGTTCATTGTAGAATTTCTTCTTTACTATAAAAATAAGTAATTTATGTATTTCCCTTTGTAGTTTGTGATTTAAGGACCAACAAACCCCCTGGTTCCCCTGGGCTAAGCAAGTCTATGTTTGATCTTACAAGTTCATCTCAGAAGTTCATCCAGGTAAATTATTTATATAAATTTAATTATATCCAATAATTTATTTTCAAGCTAAAAATTCAGAAACGTGTAAATTACATTCAGAACAACACGTTTTACATCTTTTGTAGATGTATCTATTCTAATATCTCTTAGGATTAACACTTGACATTTACCACTTGATTATTTAAGAAACTTTGAACTGAATACAAAAAGGCAGTAGTTTTTATTTTGTTTGTGTTTTTATGAGCCTTACATCTTTCATTTGGTATGCACTCAGACACTTGGCATTTATAATGTATATAGTTAAAAGTGCTTATTAATTTAACTTTCTTTAATGAACATAACTAGTTAATAAAAATTACTATTTCTATTGAGATGTAGAACTTTAATTATTCATTAACATTAATACTATCCTTTTCCAAATAGAATTAAGAATCTTATATTTAAAAAAATATTTCTTTTTTTAATACAAGTGAACTGTGATTATTATTTAAAAATTACAAAATAGACTTAAGCAAAGTAAAAAGACAAATCACCTATATTCCTATAACTGAGTAAAAGCACTGTGCAAATATTGTTTATATATACTTGTGGACTTTTTTTTCATGTGAGTATTTATACATATATTTTATTAAAATGGAAGTGTATTCTGAATAATCCTTAATAATCCCACTTGAGTTAATTTTTTGCAGACTGCATTCTTTTTTTTAAAATATGTTTTACTGATTTTTTTTAGAGAAAGAGGAAGGGAGAAGGAGAGAGAGAGAAACAGTCATGAGAGAGAAACACTAATCGGCCTCCTGCATGCCCCCTGCTGGGGGGTTGAGCCCGCAGCCCAGGCATTAAACCTGAGACCTCTTGGTGCCCTGGAGGACGCTCAGCCAACTGAGCCACACTGGCGGGGCTACAGATTTAACCCTTCATAGCACCAGTTCTTTAACATGCACTGGAATTGTGTGGAGAGCTTGTTAACATACAGAATTCCAGGCCTTTCCCCCAGAGCTTTTGATTTAGGAGCTCTGCAGTGGGCCTGAGTTTGTATTTCTAGTAGTTTCCCAGGTGATGCTGATACTCCTGGTTCAGAGGGACCATGCTTTGGTAACTGCTGCTTTACAGGTTTTTAGGTAGCAGGACACTTCCAAATTTATTCTGATTTTTATGAATTCCCTTAAATATGAAACATAATTTTTACAAATTTTACAAATGTTATTTGTAGAGACATGATTCACTGTCCAGTGTGCCCAGTAGCTCTTCGTCAAGGAAGAATTCTCAGGGAAGTAACAGAAGCTTGGGTAAGGAATAAAGAATCCTATTTTTATCTTCTTAAGGGAATGATTTCTACCCAATAGTAATTTGAAAGTATATACAACGAGGTAAAAGAAACTCTAGATGATTATCTCTACATCGACAGTGTTATCTGCATATGAATACACACATTAGATGGCCTGTTTCTTAGTGATCAGGCATGAATACATCTTTTAAAAAAGCGAAGCAATTAAATATCTTTTTTTCATATGTTAAAGCATATTAGTGAAGGAATTTCCTGAAGTGTAAAGTATTAAGGCCATATCAGTGTTATTTGGGAAAGTTTTTTATTGTTTTAACTTAAATTTCTCAGGTTATAATTGGGTTAAGTTTTAAGCCATGTATTCCTTTTTATAGTATATTTCCCCCTGGCACTTTAGTTATACATTAAATTGTGATGTTTGTCTTATTAAATTGTGAACTTTAAAAAATAATTGTAGCATTTTTTTCAATTTTGCCCCTTAAAATCAACTCGTATTAAAGTATATTTTGGTTAGAAGGATTGCATAGCATGTGAAACATCTTTGTCTTTTTATGATTCAGATACTATTACTCTATCAGGAGATGAAAGAGATTTGGGGAGATTGAATGTGAAAGTGTTTTATAATTCTTCAGTAGAGCAGATCTGGATCACAGTATTACAGGTACATTATTATAGTGAATACTAACTTTCCTTACAAAATTGAATGTTTAGATATTACAAGCATATATTGTTGCTTTCTCCTGGGGAATGGGTCGTTACCTTCTTTGGAATTTAGGATTCCATAGTATTTTGCAGAAAATAGTACTTAATAAAGAATTTAAAGAAAGTAAACCTGTAAGTATGATGGAAACTTTTGATTTTTAAACTCAAGAAGGAAATTGATGTGATATCTAGAGCATTAAATGTCAAATTATTTTAATGTAGGTGAAATGGGTTCTCAGTAGACTAAACTTTACTTTTACAGTTTGTATCTAAAGTCATTAAGTCAAGAAATACATAAAATATTTGTATTGTCAGTGTCACTTGTAAAATTCAAACTATATTTTTTAATTTTTTTAGTGCAAAGATTTAAATTGGCCTTCTAGTTATGGCGACACACCTACTATTTCTATAAAAGGAATCCTAACATTGCCCAAACCAGTACATTTCAAATCTTCAACCAAGGAAGGCTCCAATGTAAGTGGTTATTTGTGTTTGAATTTCTTCTTATGTTTTTCTCATATTTGTCACTTTAACCCATGTAAAGAATTGGAATAAGAAAGAATTTTATTTTGGGGAAACCACAAATTATATACCCCTTGCTTCTTAACGACAATTTTGAGCCTTAAAAATATTTGATATTTCATTGTCCAGTATTAAGATGCATTTAAAAAGAAAATTTTAATCACTAAAATATATAGAAGATGAACAATATATAAGGAAACTCTTTCCTTTTCTCTTATGAAAGGAAAATAAATGTCTGTATTTTCATCCTGTCTCCTCCCACCCCATATGGCTTTGAGAAATCATTGTATGATTGCAGTGAATTTCTTTTAAATACTTTCCATTATTATAACTGGAAGATTTATGATCCTGAATTTGGTTTTATAGATTCTAGATTTCACGTCAACTTAAATATATCTTCATTTTTGTCCTTTGATGTGGGTTGAAAGGTTAGTGTTTTTCCATGCAAATGGAAGGTATCTTCTACAAAAACATATCACTTTAAGAATAAGATAATTCAGATGTCTAATAAACATGAAATTGCATACTGCGCCCTCTTTATTTTCTGTCTTATCTTTTTTTGTTTATAAAATTAGGAAAAATTTTTACATAAAACTTCCTGAAAATTATTATAATGACAATACACAGTAAAACCTTAAATTATTTTTACTTTGTAATGGAGTTATTCTACTTGGAATCTGTTCCATGGAAATAATCTAATATGTACATGTAAAATACATATATAGGGTGGGCAAAAGTAGGTTTGCAGTTGTTTGAGAAAAGACATGCAGGTTATGATTATTACAATAGCTTTATTAATTCAAAAGAAATCTCTCACTGGCACAGCACACTTAGGTACAATCTCTTAAGTGCTCAAATTGCCGGCCTTCATTATTTACACATTTTTGTAGTCTGTTTGCTGTACTCAAGCATACTTGGGCACAGAGTTCTTTATTGTCATCAGTTTGTTGACATGCTCCTCCATCATTTCCTAAAAGATAAATCAGCCTGGCCAGGCGTGGCTCAGCAGTGTAGCATCAACCTATGATCCAGGAGATCGCGGTTCGATTCCCGGTCAGGGCACATGCTTGGGTTGTGGGCTCGATTCCCAGTGGGGGATGTGCAGGAGGCAGCCAATCAATGACTCTCATCATTGATGTTTCTCTCTCTCTCTCTCCCTCTCCCTTCCTCTCTCTGAAATCAATAAAGATATATTTTAAAAAAAGATAAATCATAAGTAAGGATACGAAATAATATTAATATAAAACATAATATAAATAATATAAGTAATATAAGAATAAACTCTGCTTCGCATACTCACAACTGTAAACCTACTTTTGCCAATGCCTGTATGTATATATAAGGTTTTGTTGGTGATTTGTTCACAGTGCAAAAGTTGGAAACAATCTAAAAATGTCTCATATAGGCGAATGATTGAGAAAACTCATGGAACACCATGTGTATTAGTTTCCTAGGGTTTTTGTAACTAAGTACCACAAACTGGATGGCCTAGAACAACTGAAATCTCTCTCTCACAGTGTTGGAGGAAGTCTGGTCTCAAAATTTCAGCAGTGTTGGTTCCTTCTCTGAGGGAGAATCTGTTCCATGCCTCTCCCCTAGCTTCTGGTGATGGCCAGCAATCCCTGACATTCCTTGGCTTCACTCTAATCTCAGGTCATGGCCATTTTCTCATAAGGGTACCAGTCCCTCCTCCAATATGACCTCATCTTAACTTCACTAATCACACTGTCAGTGACCCTCTTTCCAAGTAAGGTCACATTCTGAGTTATTGGGGGTCAGGACTTCAACATATTTTTGGGGGGAACTCAATTCAAACCATACGACATGTGATACAATACGAGAAAGCTATGAAAAATAATGTTTTTTTAGGAAGAGTTTTTAAGGACATGGGAAAATGTTCAATAAGTGAAAAGGCAGAAATCAGAATTACATAGTAGGATATAGCAGGATATCACTTTATATAGGATATAAAGTCAGGATATCACTGACTTTATGATGACATATTCATTATAGAAAGTCTAAAGGAAGTAAATCTTATCTCTGGTTGTAATTCTGACAGTTATTTAACAATTTTACTTTTTGATTTTCAAATAAAATTAAGCTAACTTAGGAAAACTTAGGGGGAAAAGGAAGTTTAAGTGGCTGGGAGGCTCTCAGAAACATAATTCTGATCCCATAGGCAAAAACAGTTACAATAAAAGAGAAAATCTGGGCACAATTATTTAAAATATTGATGTTAGTTACTCAGATATCTTGCCTTTGCAAAAGGAAAAAACACACAAAACTCCTTTTCAAAAGGATGCATTAAAAATAGAAAGGAGTGCAGCAAAGAAGAGCCTAGTAAGAAGATGTTAGCCCATGGTAAACCAAAGCTTGAAAATATTAAAAGTAACAAAAAGAACATTTGAAAATATTTCAAGCATGGAAAACACGGACTTGCTGTGTGGGGTGGATGCTTATGCAAGAAGGTAGAACTTTATACTCATATTTTCTTTTGTCTTCTCTATTAAGTAAGGAGATAGATTTTCAGATTGGGAAGAGTGGACCAAACATTACCAAAAGAGAAATTGAAGCCCAATAAATGGGAAGAATATTAGACAAAGAATCACTCATTTAAAGAAATAATTCACGACTTGTAATGTGAACAAGTTAGGTTTTGGGTACTGAGAGAGGCTTGTCTGAGATTCTTAAACCACTCTTATTTACTGTTGAAGAACTGTAAACAGCAGAAAAGATCCCCAAACAAAGATGGAAAACAACCTAATTTTTAAAAAAGGGAAAAGCTATATATATTCTGGTACACTTGGTGTCGATATTGACCCAAATTCCTGACTTAGTAATTAAAAGGATGATTTGTGAAATTAAGAAAGGCAGTATCCAGGATAGATTCTGGAAAAACAAGTCATGGCCATTCTCATTTTTGTTTGCTGCATTAAAAAATATTTTCTATTGTAAAAAAATCAAATCTACCTTTCCTAGATTATGTTATTTTTATTTATTTCCTATTGGCATATCACCCTTTTCAGTCCTTTTATTTATATATTTTATATTTTCTTTTTTTTTCAGTCTATTGAATTTATGGAAACTTTTGTGTTTGCTATTAAGCTCCAAAGTCTACAAACTGTGAGGCTTGTATTTAAGATTCAAACCCAGACTCCCAGGAAGAAAACCATTGGAGAATGCTCACTATCACTCAGAACTCTCAGCACACAGGAAATGGATTACTCTTTGGATATAGCACCACCTTCAAAAATTCCTGTAAGTGATAGTAGTATGCAAATGACCCTGAAGTATGAATAATTTTAAGTTATTAATTAATTTTTTTTTAAGTTTTTTTAGTAGCTGATAACTTAGGAAAAGCAGGAAAGAATCAAACTGTAAACTCAATCAGAGATTGCCTTCACATAGATTAGGAAAGTTGTTTTTAATCATGAGTAAGCTATATATCTGTCCATAAGTTGGGTAGAAAGGAGGTTCTTACAGCTGGTATTTTTTGTAAAGAAGTTGATTATCTATAGTGCTGATTTATTTTTGAGACCTGATGTTTACTTCTCTCAGCTAGCCAGCTGAACACTTCAGTTGTTTAAAAATCCCTAATAATTTAATTCTATAGTTTCTATGTCATGATAACATTTATAGAAATCAGCCATAAACTTTTATAAGGTCAAACCTTATGTGATTTTAAATTTATATAGGATTTATATTTTATCTACTTTTCAAAAATATTTACGATGACATGAAGTGGTTCTTAATCCTGGGTACACATTAGAATCACCCAGGGAGCTTTAAAAAATGCCCACATCTAAACCAATTAAATCAAAATATTTGCCCGGGGGGATGGGGTGGTGCAGGCAGAGGCATCTGTAATTTTCAAAAGCTCCCCACATGACTCTAATGTATAGCTTGACTTGAGAATCACTAAATTTGAAGGGAAATTAAGTATTAAAAAAATAAAAAACAAAGGATTACTATAATTGATCAAGAATAGTTGAAATATCTTGATTTCTTTATTCCTTGTCTATTATTTTCATCCCCACTGGGTTTTTTTTATAGCATTTATTACAACTAAGAATTATTTAAGTTACTTGTTTTAAACAAAGCAAAGTTTGAGCTTTCATCTGTTTCCTTCATAATTTACTGTGCTCCTAGTAACCTGTCATTTCCTTGGCAATGAATATTTATATGTAGATAGATAGGAAAGAATAAATGATGAATGGAAGCATGCCGAATTAGAGTATTTTGTTAAAATCTGTTTAAGCAAATTTGTTTTGTAATTGTGATAGGAGTTTGTCACTTGCATCTTTGAAACTAGCTTAGTAGACAGTAATCTGCAACTGTAGTTTGTAGAAGGCACAGATATTCCAATGGATAATTCATATATTAAAACTTAAATTAATGAGACTAGTAGAGTATATCAGACTCAACAAAGATATTTTCTGGGGAATTGAGACATTATAATCTTATCTGTCTTTTAGAATCTGAATGAACAATTATGGCTCAGTTTCTACCAAATTATATATCAGAGGTCTAATGTCAGCAAAGGTTTTATTTTATGTATGGCTACCGAATTAGTTCATATGAAAAGTTTTATAAAGTCATTCTTATTCTGATTGAAAGCAAAAGCAATACATTCACTTATTTATTAAAATTCAGCATTTTTTTTTTTTTGCCAAAAGAGAAGTTTTATCATCATTTTAGATGTTTCATAGGGGAGTTTAACCTCAACAGGTGAGCTTATGCTTTTTAAGTGCTAAACTATCTCTTGATTTCTTATGGCATGACCAATTTAAAACACAGAATGATGTTTTAAGAAAACGCCCAAGATTCAGTTAATGGAATGTGCATAGAAAGGCCCTTTCTTAGTGAGTCAGTCATTGGGACTGCCGGGCGATTATCAGATAGGAACCTCTTCATCAGGTGTCGTCCAGCTGATCAGGTGTCGTCAGGTGTCGTTCAGCTGTGCTGTCGCTTTGTCAGAATCAGTATTAGCGGGGAACTTTGTTCCGTCTGCGCTGAGCCGTGTGCGACCTCCTGACGTTCTGCCCCTGCTGTGTGCGTGCTTACCCTCTCAGCGCGTGAAGAGCAATGTGTCTGTGTTCGTGTCGGGACGAGATTGTGCGTCTCTTGCTTTTCAGCCGAGGGCCTCGGAATGCAGAGAAGGGCTGCTCGCGCTCTAGGACGCCGCCAGCCTGCTTCGCGTGGGCAGCTTCGGAGCCCCCCTGCATTTTACTGTTTGCCTCGGGGTTTCTTTCACCTTCTCCTTCTGTTGACAGCCTCCAACTTTCACAGCTCTCCTTGGCCTTGCTTCCATTCGGGGCAGTGATTCAGCTCCCAGCCCGCCAGCCTTTTCATTGTAGTCATCCTTTGTCTTCTGCTTTTGGTAGCACCTACTCTGATTTCTGCATTTAGAAAAAATAATGATGACTCGCATATGTTACATTTTCAAATCATATTTCATATGTTCTCAAAAATGATTCAAATCAGTACATTTAAGTACTTTAAAACTGTGCTTGCTCTTTCAGTGTTTATTTCACTGACATTTTCTCTAGTAAAAGTGCCTAGGAATTCAATTTGTCTTTAATGTGAATTGTCTTTTGGTCTCCCTGACTTTGAAGAACCCGTGTGTAGCTGTAACTTGCAGTTTCAGAATCCATGAAAGTGAACACCTCACATGTACAGAATCCGTGACAGTTATCTTCTAAACTTTCTCTTAAAACATACAGCTCTGTGTGTCAATAAAAAAGTGATTTCAAAATTTCTGATCTTAGCTCTTTATTTTTGAATTTTTGAAATATCCCAAAACTTTATTTCTTGATTATCAAATGACACTTTTTTGATATGCAGGTTTGTCATGCAGAACTTGAACTGGGGACTTGTTTTCAAGCAGTGAATAGCAGGATTCAGTTACAGATTCTTGAGGCCCAGTGCCTTCCAAGCTCATCCACACCTCTGACTTTGAGTAAGTATATCAGTGGTTCAAAGTGGAATCTAAAGAAAATATTAGTAAAAGGTAGTTTTGCCTACATTTCCTACAATGGAGATTAAAATGTTAGTAACTTTTATTACTTAACTTAAATATTTATCTTGTAACTTAGAATCACTTTATTGGATTTCAAATTTTAGCCACTGTGTCTACCTGAATCCACTGCCTCTCGATTCTTACCCAGTTGTGACTTCTCTGCATCCGGGGCTGTTTCTTATTTGGCTCATTAGTTACTATAGGTTGAGTGTCCAGAGGACTATCAGATATGTTTCACCAGCCTAGATAATTTGTCCTGTGCGACCTTCATTTCTCTGCTAATGAGAAACTTAATTTTAAAAAACCAGAAATATCAAACACAACCCTTGAACCACTTCTTCCTCCCTGCCCTCTGGGCCCAGCCAGGGTTCTGGTACTTTGGTTGCATGGGCCTGGTTCCCATGGTGCCCCTAGAGCTGGAGGCTGAGGTCAGTCCTACCTAAAGGGCTAAGAGTGGGGGAAGAGTACCCCTTGTTCCTACTAGAAGAAGAGACACCTGGAGCAGATGGAAGTAATGGATGCCCACTGTAACTAATGAGACTGAAAATAAATACAGCTGAGCGTTCAGCTCACAAAGCTAGAAAAACGCAAAGGAAAGAAGTGAGGAGTTAAAGCCAGAGTTGAAGTTGATAAATATTGAGGCAACAACAAAAGATAATCAATAAAAATGAAGGTTTTTTCTTTGAAAAGATCATTAAAATAGACAAACCGATGGTAGGTTGGATCAAGCAAAAAATAGAACATAACAAGGATGAGAATGACATTCCAACTCGAGAGATTCGTGCCACGTGTAACTACCGAGTCATTTGAACCGCTGTGTAAAAGAAATGATTCTCTAAGGAAAATTGTTCACGTTCACTAGAGAAGAGTGAAAATCTGAATAAAACAGTAACTATGTAAAGATAGTTAAAGAACCTTCTCTAATAAAAGCACAAGGCCAAGATGGTTTTACTGGCAGATTCTACCAAACTTTGAAGGAACATACAATCCCTGTTTTATATAAGCTGTTCCCAAGCATGCAAAAAGATGGAAAAAGTAACTGTGTGAGTTAGCATGTTCTCTATGTCAAGACAGACAGGATAGTACACACAAAAATAGCTGTAGACTACCATCACTTACGTAGACAGACGGAAAAAATCATAAAAGGAAAAATAAGCTAAGTCGAACTTGGCATTAAAAGAATAAGTTACCAGGACTACAAAGTGTTAATTCTACGAAACAAGGACAGCAGTAGAAATCTGCAGATGTGCTGTATCACATTAACAGGTGTCCTCCTTTAATCAAAGCTGCTAATGAGGATTACCAGTGATCTCTGTTTTATAAATCGAATGGTCAGTCTCCGTCCTCACTTTGCGGACTGTCTGGAGCTTCCCGCCTCGCTTTCTTGCTACCCCGGCAGCCTCAGCCCTATCCTAACTCACGTTAGGCAGACCGCACCTTCTGCTTGAGCTGGAGACATCGTGTGTGAGGATTGGGAGCATGCTTAGATGAAAAGCTGTATAAACCCGAATTTTACCCAGTGCAGTTCCTGTCTTCTAAGAGCTGTCTCTTCTCCAATTTCTTCCTACTTTTGGCCAATTTTAGTGTCTTAAATAGTTGTTTTTTATATTTTGCCCAGAGTTTACATTTGTTACCCGTGGGAAGCTATTTATGTAAGCTATTCTACCATTACTGGAAACTACATCTCAAAGTTATTTAAAGAATAGATTTTCTCTAGTGAGCATATGTTTAACTTCTGTAATCTGTAGCAAAGAAGTTTACCTACATGAAATTGTGAAGTAAATTCCTCCCCTTCCCCAGAGTCGGCACCACTGCTTTGTGTCATCCTTTACCATGTGCACTCCTTTGCTGCTGGTTGTCATCGATGCCTACAATCCCAGTCTTTAATGGCATTCAGGTCGGAAGAAGATTAAATTCACTTGAGGTTACACTAGTTAACATAAAGTGTTGTAAAAATTAAGAAGTTTAGTAGATGTTTTCTGTTATGGCAATAGCTAATCAGATCTTGAAAGGTGGTTTCTTTATATTTTTACAACAAACATATAGGTACATATATTTAAATGGTATTTTAAATAAAATCTCATATATCAAAATTTCTTGTTTTTTAGGTTTTTTTGTGAAGGTGGCAATGTTTAGCTCAGGAGAGCTGGTTTATAAGAAGAAGACACGCCTACTGAAGGCCACCAATGGAAGAGTAAAGTGGGGAGAGACTATGATTTTCCCACTTATACAGAATGAAAGAGAAATTTTTTTTCTCATTAAGCTATATAGCCGAAGCTCTGTAAGAAGAAGACACTTTGTGGGGCAGGTTAGTGGGAGTTTTTATCTTGGATTCTTTCCTTGCACTTTTTTGTGCCCTTAAACAGTTGGTTAACAGAAAGAAATTAGGATAAAAGTGAAGTTTAATAGAGTACAAGTCTTCAGCGTCCTAAGTTAAAATTCAGTGTTGCCACAGAAATCAAATCTTGTCAGACTTTTTCCTTTAATATAGATAGTTGGAATTTCTGAGCAATCAGGCTTATCTTAAAATAAGCCTTTTTTAAAAAAAAAAAATGAGCTTTACATTTTTAATGGGGGGATTAGTCCTTTTCTGAGCTTATCAGCTTTAAAAAGCATGAGAAAGATCAGCTTTTCAGTACGGCCGACTCATTCCTTATGAAGAGGCAACACTAAGTATTTAAATTAAATTCCTTAAGGCTTCGGATACCCAACTCTCTTCTGCTTCATGTTCAGTTCAGTGTTTAGCTCTGTCTGCTATTAACTGAATTATGTTAGGTTTGAACTCGTAGAAAACATCCATTTTAATAGTGGTTGTGCTGTTATTTAGATAGTCAATATGGGTGTCTGGATTAATCCATTTAAAAGTTCTTAGTAATTTGTATAAGACAACATAACACCTCCCTACTTGCCGGTCCTATAGGAGCTGATTTCCTTTTGTTCTGTACTCTGAGTGGATTCATGAGAGCTGTCTATTGTGTTTTATCTTAATTACAGTTGTTTGACTTACATTTAAATTCCAAAATCTATATTATTGGTTTAAAAGCTTCTACTTGACAAGATGTCATTAACAGTCTGTGTGAAATCCTCAAATTGTATGTGAATTTTATACAGATTGATATTAACTCTTTGGTTTACTTAATGTGTTTTACCTACAATATTTGTAAAAAAAAAAAAAATTATAGTTCTTCGTTTTTTCTTACTCAAAAAGTTTAAACTCAAGGATTCATGTAACTAGCATACTTTTCAAAGCCATAAGACCCATGAAGTGAATTCAGTTAAAGTTTTCCAGTATCATCAAGCCTCAACTGTTGTGTATGAATGCAATAGGAGGTTTACTTGACAGATGATTTTCAGGATAACTTTTTTGGTAATTCTACTTTCTTGGTTGAGATTCTAGTTAAGAATAATTCTGGGAAGGTTCTTGCGGGTCCTCTGTCCCCTGTAGTGTCTCCGGTAGCTTTAGGCGCCACCGTCATGGAGTAGAGCCAAATGTGGATCAAGCTCGCCCACTTCTGTCAGCCGGAGCGCTCTTAGTTACCTGATTTTATATCAGGGTTGTTTGCAAGATTTTATGTGAAGGAAAGTTCTTCAGACCATGAAATTAAGGGGAAAAGTTTAAAGACCTAATTTCTTTATTTAAAAGAATTAGAGCCTGACCGACGTGGCTCAGTGGTTGAGCTCAAGGTTTGATTCCCAGTCGGGGCACATGCCCGTGTTTTGGGCTCGATCCCCAGGAGGGGGCCTGCTGGAGGCAGCCGATCAGTGTCTCATCATTGATGTTTCTGTCTCTCTCCTTCTCCCTTCCTCTCTCTGAAATCAATGAAGACATATTTTTAAAAAAATAATAATAAAATAAAAGAATTAGAAAGTGAGTATCAAAGTAGTTAATCCAAAGCAACAGCATTTGTTAAGTGCTTGAGCTGAGGTGAGAATTCAGGTTTTTTTAATCCCTGCCACCTTACCTCCGTGATATGTGACCATTGTGTGTCTTGCCTTTGCATAATTTCCCAAGTTCATTTGCATCTGTTATCTAAAGTTGCTTAAGTGATGAGTAATGTTTACTGTGGATTATTACTTAATTATTTACTGTGGATCAAGAATGACTGCTTATTAGATTTCAGTTAAAATTGCAGTTTTATATAATGTACAAGGTGCTTAAAAATGCACATTCCTTACCAATCTAATTTAAATCAAGATTAGTCTGAGCTAATCTTTACAAAAATGTTTTTGAGTGATTGGGATCAGTTTTAAGTTGAGCTAGATTTATTGAATAAGAAAGGGTACTAATTATTTTGGGGGAAATGATTGTGTAGTATCTCACATTGAATTTTTAAATTGAATTGGATCATACAAAATAGTCCTCAGAGTGAATAAATAGGTTAAATGTTTTCACATTTAAGTTTCACATAGAGAAATCAAACAGACTTTTGGAAAAGTGGAAAGATGTTTAGTTGAAAACATGTAAACCAAACTTCCAATTGTCCATCATCCACAAGAGTAATTAACAGCTCACCGTTATTGTGTTAAGTGGTTGTACTGTTCCTTTACAGATTTGGGTAAGTGAAGACAGTCATAATGTTGAAGCAGCAAACCAGTGGAAAGAGACTATTACCAATCCAGAAAAGGTTGTTATCCAGTGGCACAAATTAAATCCATCTTGAAGACTTCATACACTGCCTGACGAAGAATCTGACATTCTTTTAGAAGACAAGATTTCAATTTGCTGCCAATGCGAACAGACAAATCAATATATTTCTCAAGTCTTTTATGGAGGTCATAATTATAGTATATAATGGATCTGTTAGAACATTAACCTTGATAAAAATGGTATGAATTATATCAAATATCCAAAGTAAAGGAAATATTTAAAAACTGTGCCAAAATAGACAATAAAATAAAAGGGTTGTATTACCCGGGCAAACTAAATAAATTCTAAAACCAATGAAAATATCAACCATGGATAGTTACTGCCATATTGTGTTCATAGGGCTTTTTTTAAACTTTACCTAGATATTCAAATCTAGTATATCAAGTCTCTGTTAGTGCTGTTAGACATTTGGAAGCCTTTACTACTGACTGTTTCAGTACTAATCATTATTAATTGTATCTGGACTTCACTGTTTACTTCTTGCTACATATTTTCTCGCAGAAAGCAAAAATGAATTGAACTACTTCAATTCCTGGGGAAAGTTAGTCCCTGTGTTTATCATTTCTTACCCATAAGGTGTCACATTGCCAGTTTATCTCTGAGAAACTTCACATATAGGAAACTGCATTTTGGCAAAAATAATGAAAAAACCAGAGGTTGAAGTTTGATTGGAAAGCAATATACACACATCTTGCTGTGTTTTTTTCCTCCCTTAAATATTTTACTGTTTGTTTTATTTGGAATAAGAGTATCATGCATGTGGCCCATCCTAATTAGCAGAATTAAATGAGCTTGAATAGCAAATTCAGTGCTTTATGATAATCATGTCCTTGTTTTTAAATATAAATTACTTGTTCTGTAATCCAGAATGTTAGAGTATTTTCCCTTTTTAAGAAAATAACCATACATGATTACACCATGTAGCAAATAAATACTTTCTATTGCAGTTTCTCTCAGGCACTCATTAGAACTCAGTATGTGTGGATAATTTCAGTTTAGTTGGCCATGCACTCTATGGCCAAAAACAGTTGCTATTTGGAGAAACAAATAAGGCCATCCTCAATGGTGGAAAATTTGACTATTTTTGCTAATGAGTAGACCAAGTGCTGCTCTGCGTTCATGGTCTTCCATTTTTCTTTCCTTCTTACCTTGTCCCACGCTGCCAGGAAAGAGGTGGTGATGTTTTAGGCCAGAAGCATACTTTGCTGTAGCTTAAGCATGCCCTCTTCACTCCAGTTCTTATGTTCTGTGTATCCTGTTAAGGTTTTCCCAACCTTAATAAACACTTAATTCCCCCTACCCTCCAGTGATAANCATGCCCTCTTCACTCCAGTTCTTATGTTCTGTGTATCCTGTTAAGGTTTTCCCAACCTTAATAAACACTTAATTCCCCCTACCCTCGGTGTTACCTTTCCTCCAGTGATAAAATGTACATACTTTACATGCCCTTTGCTCCTGCTGCCTAGAGTTTATGGCATATCGATGGTGGTGACAGGTGTTCTGTCTGCATTTTGAAATACTTTTTTCAGATTTGTGAAAAATGGCATGTTGGCCAGTATTCACATGGGCTTTTAAGATGAATCACATTGTGTGGTAGTCTTTTGAATCTTTGAGACAAATGGCAACTATTTAAAAAAATTTTTTTCTATAAATTTTTTTTTAATCATCACCCGAGGACATGTGTTTTTTTAATTGATTTTCAGGAGAGAGGAAGGGAGGAGAGAGAGAGAAACATTGATCTGTTACCTCCCGTATGTGCCCTGACAGGGATCCAACCCACAACCCTTCAGTGACCGCGCCACCTGACTGAACCACACTGGCCGGTGCGAAAAAACATTTTTGTTAATACACTTTATTTTCTGGAGCAATTTTAGGTTCACACAAAAGTTGAGAGGAGGGCACAGAGAATCCTTTTATAACACCTGCTCTCACATGTGCACGGCCTGCCTCACTATCAACATCTCACACCAGAGTGGTGCATTTAGTAAAACCATTGAGCCTACACCGACATACCCCCAAAGTCCATAGTTTACATTAGGGTTCACTCTTGTCCTCTCTAAGAGTTCTGACAAACGCCTAATGGCATGAATGCACCACTGTGGCACCGTGTAGAGTAGTTTCACTGCCCTGACTGCTCTGCAAATGCAACTATTGCAATAGCCACCAAAGAAGGAGGTGTATTAGCTTTTAGGTAATAAATAACAGACTTTATTGTTTGAAGAAATCTAGAAGTTTATTTGAGCAGTTTTTTGTGTTCGATTATTGCTTTTAGTTCCTAAACTTATTATATGTAGTTATGTATTTAACTCAGTTTTTAACTATTTAATGTTCAGTATTTTTACAATATGTGTATAATGTATAATTTGAGGGAAAGCGATGATTTCTTGGTTTCTTGTATGTCGTAGAATCCTAGGTAAATAAAATAATAAAAAGAAAACCTTTTCATTTAAGAGCCCTTTCAGTTAGAGAAGTGTTGACATCACTAACATCCCAGATATTTTAATTAGTGTTTACTTAATCCTTTCTCAGGTGAAGAGGTACTGAATAGAGATAATCTGGTTTGTCTTGTTGAAGCTTTATGTGGAAATATAAAAAGAAACACTTTTTTGTTAATAGTTACTCATGTTATGAGAAAAACATTAGAAGCTAGTAATAAAAAATGAGATACTACACAGAAACCACTTCTCTTTGTATTTACTTTGGCATTTCTTGACCTTTGCTCACTTACAATTAGAATGGAACCAAAACGATGTTGAGTGACCAGAGAAAGCCATGGAAAGATTCATGTTGCCAGCTGATAGCTTGCATAGTACTGTTCCCTAGCTGTATTTACTTAAAAGCTTTCAGATTAATAAAATTAAAATATCTGCAGCCCATGTCAAAACATCGCATCACTATTTGGCCTTCATTTAGTTCTGCATGATTTCCTAGAGAAATTACCACTGAAGTATATCAGTTTCAGCTCTTATCATACTGCTAAGGAAGCAGTGGGATTTTAAACATATGTTATTTAACTGTGGTCTGAAAATAGCCTAAACTAAACTTTTGTTTGAATTCAGGTATATGAATTTCTCTGATCACTAATGTGCTGAAACTGTGTATCCCAGCAAAAATTTCCATTGTTTATTTAATCAAATAATTGCTTATTCATGAAGGATTTCAGAAATTTGCAATTTATTTCAACTTTTTCTACTGTGGTAGTTATGGATATTTCAAGGATTTACATCTCTTCTATGTTATCTCTCTGGGCAATCTCTTCTATTCCCATGACTTCAAGTGCTGTCTGCCAGCTAAAGGCTGGTGAGTGACTCTCTCGTCCCAAATCTTGCTAACGAGCTCCACTGTCATTTGGATAGTGTGGACATCATGTCCTGAATCTATCTCAGACCTAACTGTTGATTTCCCATTCCCCCCCAAGCCTGGCCTTCACTGTTCCCCATCTAAGTAAGGGGAACTGCCACCCACCTGGTTGGTCATCCCTGAAACCGAGGAGTCACTTTGGAGCTCCTTTCTCTCACCCCCAAACCTCACTCAGTCACCCTGTTGGGAAAGGACGTAGAGTCCCCGTAACTTCCCTGGTCGGAGGCATCACCTCCCCCCTACAGCACTGCACTCCCCCCATAACTGGTCTTCTGCCCCCCTCGTATTTCCCTCTAACCCACCACCCTGCAGCCAGAAGGATGTTTTTAGAATACACGTATGATTGTCATCCTTCGCCCGGCTGCAGTTCGTATGAGGTCCGGAATCCTTAACACGGCGTGCAAGGCCCGCCTGCCCGCCAGCCCCGCCTGGGGCCACTGCGGCTGGTCGTCTGCGGCCTTGGAGGACAGCCCGCACCTGCCTTCCTCGCGGCCTCTACAGGTGCTTTGTCTGTGGAACGGCTTCCTCTTTGTTCTCCCAGTTGCTAAATCCAGGTCTTTTTTTAGATGCTAGCTTTACTGTCTGTTCCTCAGAAGGGTCTCTTTGTACATCTTAGGCAGTGTTAAATCCGATTTTCATGTTTGATTTTTTTCTACAGCTTTTATCATAATTGCGATTAAATCGATGCGTAGCTCTTGTCTCATGTCTCTCCTGTACTGCAGTTTGCATGAAAGTTAGGTCACATTGCTTCATTCCTGAGGGTAGCACAGTGCCTGGCACATAAGGGGTTCATGGTAAATGTTTGTTCATTCATTTCACTGATAGGCAGTGTTTGGGGTGTTAGGGATACAGCACCGAATGAACACAGATATGAACGAACACATTGAGTCATGTTTTATTGCTCAGTAAAGCGGTAAAGGCCAGTATCTTGTTGAGATAATACACTATTAGTACATTTACTTTTAAAATTCATTGACGTATTTCTTAATTATAGAAAAGAAATTTGATAGCCTCACACTATGAGGTAGGGCCTAGGGAAAACAGACCTAGAAAAAAATTTCTTCTGAAATTCTGGGCAGTGTTTTTAACATAATTAATGCTAAATTTTGTAGATTGCTGAGATATTCATCTAATTTTACCTTATTGTTGCATGTTAACAGCTTAATATGTGTCATAACCAAGCAAAAAATTGTATTTATTTACAACATTTGTGCTTTGCAGAGAGCCAGGTAAGTCTGATTCCTGCATAAAACTGGAAAGATGCTTAAATTGTGCCCAGCTTTGAAAATTTCCTATAAGATGTAAATAAACAGGATACATAAGACTTCCGTAGAATAGAAGACAAGTTGAAGATTGTCCAGGTGACAGTCCCACCTGGAAGGACAGGATGAGAATTTTGGGGGCCTCTTCTGATAGGATTTAAGAAAGGGATTCAGGGAAGAGCCCGTTAGAGAGGTAAGCCTGAGCCCGTAGGCACCTCAGTACTGGGGACTTGTCCTCGCAGAGTCTAAGTCGGGAGATAAGGAAGGTGGTGGGGAGGATTGCTGAGTAATGTTCTCTTACTCATATGAAAAGGGGCCCTGGGAAGAACAGATTGGCAGCCAGAAAGAAGAGAGGCCTGTGAGAGGAAGAAGAGCTCACGGGGACCAGTTAAGGCTGCAAGAGTAGCGAGGTCAGGGTGCAGCTGTGCAGCCCACCCTCAGTGCGTTGCGTCTGTGCTTCCTCCTACTTACACTCTACACATGGCCACCTTGTCATCATAACTCAGCTTCCCTTCAGAGGACTGTCTGCAAAGCTCTCACACTGTTCCCCCCCCTTTCCCCATCCTCCCTCCTCTCCTTCACCCCTTTCTCCCCCCTCCTGC